CAAAGTCTGACAACAAACCGGGGGGGAGGTGGGAGCTGACCATAAGCACGGTCGATGAGGAAGGTCTTCAGGCGTGACCTGAAGATGGGGAAGGAGGGGACAAGGCGGAGGGATTGAGCAAGAGTGTCCCAGAGTTTCAGGGCGTAACGCTTGAAAGTGCGGCCACCAATGGCGGAATGGAGGGCGTGAGGGACAAGTGGAATGCGAGAGCCATTCGGTCGGAGGTGACGGGTAGTGGGTTGGGGAGTAAGCAGATGGGAGAGGTAGGGAGATGCCAGGTCATTTGAAGTCAGTGTGAGGATCTTGAAATCGATCCGTTCGGCGATAAGGAACTAATGGAGCCTGGCAGGAGCTGGTGTGATGAGAATTCGGAGTTTAGAGTGGGCGACGGAGTGTAGGTTAAATGGATCTTGTGGATGTGGATCTTGTGGGGCTGGGGAGACCGGCGAGGAGGGCATTGGAGTGGTTGAGGCGGGTCAAGAAACATCAGTTTGCTTGGGATATTAGTCCCAATTATTTGTCAATTATCATGATTAATGCCTCGTTGGGCAAATGACTTCTCTCTGATTTGGATGATTTTTTCATGACAATAGTGGTACGATTTTTTTCTCCTGAGAGCCCTACACCGTGTGCCCTGCCCTCTCCTTCTTCCAACTCTTCATTTGAAAAAGCAGCCACAACAAGACATGTTTCTTGCCTCCTGTTCTGGTTTCAAAATGAGATCACCCGGTCATAACTGGAAGAGAAAAGATCAAGAAAAGCTTATCCAACAGAACTAATTGGAGACAGTTCCCCCTGAATCCACTACTTTAGTGGATTCAGGTCCTTGTTAATTAGTTTCATTGGTATTTAATCGATAGCTTTGCCTTTGCCAAGCTCTTTATTACAACTCCAACAGTATTCTCTGTCCCAGTGGTGAATATATTGAGCCCTGCTATTTCCAGGTGTAATATGCTCTTGGCAAAATCTCTCATGGCTGGAAAATTGCGTGTATCTTCAAGCAACAAGTCTGATCTTTTAGCTTCTATGTGGGTCATAGAAGCATTCAAATGCTGTGACAATGCTTAAGATGAGCACTAGATGACGCCACACTTCACTCCAAGAAGTTAGTGCAATTTTCCAAACCCTGATTCAGGAGTCAAAGTCTAACTCATTAGCTCTGGGATACAATCAATGGTTGGTAAGTACTAATGATCAATGTTGTACTGAATTGTTCTGTGGTTGATGATGTGCCAGTTACGCAACATTAGACCTGCTCGATTAGAAACAGGAAACTGTGAAACAAATTGCTGTACTTTGCACTCTCAATTTCTGTGTAATCATGAGTTGTCGACTTTTACTTTCAATGCAATGTTAATGCGAAATGTTAGCTTTGAGAGGTCCTCCAAATGGTGCTATACCAAAAACTGTAAGGATTATTATATAAACTTAATTTAAGGCCCGTCTTAAGGCTTACCTCTTTGACTGAGCTTTCAGTCATCTTTCCCCTCCCCATTGCCCCCTCAGCTTTCACCCCCAGCTCAGGTGCCAAACCAGTATTGTTAAGTGCCTTGGGATGTCCTCCCGACGTGAAAGGCTCTATAGAAATGTAAATCTGTATTCTATTGTATAACGACGATGATAATACCAAAAAGACGTCTTGACTCCAGACTACTGCAGTGTGCACAATGGGGAAAGCCAACAGAGAAAATAAGAAATAAAATCAAGTTCAAATTCTTGATGCAAGAAAACCAAACGTAATCGATGGCCAGAGAGTATCATAGATAATTGGCAGATGCCTAATTTGGGTCTAAAGTTAACAACTAAAAACTGGAGCTAATCACGCTTAATGTTTGGCCTCAAACATTTTTTCCCATGAGAAAGAAGCCCATGCTTTCAAAATGGCGATTGGAATTGGGAATGTGACTGATGTCCCAAAACTGAACACAATTGGTTCCGCACGAGATCAGTCACAGCACCTCCTGCACTTTACAACAACCGCACTGAATCACTCTTGACTCAGAAGAGAGCAGTTTAGCTCCACAAACAATGCCAATCTTTTGCAGAGTTGCTTGAGCCAATGAAAAAAACAGCCGGATGTTGCTTAAATATGCAGCTTTGGCTCACTGGAGGAGAAATATAAACAGAAATGTCAAAGCTGATTTGAGCCATATACCAGTTCAAAATTTTTCATGAACCGACACATTCTTCCAGTCCAACCTCAGCTTCTGCCATTACATTAGTTTCACTCGATAGTTCAATTAAATTTATTTATTTTGTCCCGTGTTACCACAAACCCTCCTTAGGAATTCTGCACAAGCACTATTAATGTCTGTCAACTGTCAGCTGTAGGAAGTATATTGCAGAAGTTGTTGGCTGGTGATAGTATTTTCCCCTGGAATGGTCCAGTTTTGCACTGGATGGAAAATTCGGCGGGACTTCTAGCACTTGCAGGGGTTTGTTCCTGTTTGTGACGAGCTGTAATAATAATAATAAATTGGTTACTTAATCTGTGACTGTTCGTGGGAACGCCGCTGTGCGCAATTGGCTGTCGCGTTTCGCCCAGAAAATATACAGTCAATTCACTTTGCAGTATATGCTGTGAAGCGCTTTGAGACGTCTCGAAGACGTGATAAGGTGCGATGGCAAATGCAAGGATTATTATTCCTATTCTTAAAGACAAGCTATGCTCCAGGACTAAGCTGCTATTACTTATTTTACTGATTTGAATAAGCAAAAACAACTTTGTGCTGGAATGTAGCTTGTTAATGGCAAACAGTCTTATTTGCACGGTCTTATGCTTTGTTTGGCCCGAGTAAAAAGGAACCCTCTTGTGGCCGTTTGTGTTCAGATAACCAGGAAGTGGGGTAGCTGCACGATCAGACCACCCTCGGTCAATTCAAAGGATTCTCCGGTTGACAATGAGTGCATCAGGGATTGGGTGGTGCTGTGGGTTAACACAATTGCCTGTTTAAGTGTTGGGATCAATCCCAATTCAGATTAATGCTTCCTCTTTTACCAGATGTACAGGTTTTAAAGGAAATGAATTTGGGTCAATCCCTTTTTTTATATATATATATATAACAGTTTCTAAAGCTGCACAATACACAACAAGCCAAAAGAAACAACAAAGGCACTTAGATCCACATGGAAGATGTTACTAAGAAATGCCATCAAGTCTCCTTTTCATATAGGATGACTTATAACCTATTTGATGCTCTGGATGTTAGCTACAGGGCTGATGAAGACAGCTAAGCTCCATTGGAATTGATGTACTTACTGTAGCAGAGTGTAACTCTGTACTAAGGATGGACACGGATAGTGAGATCTCCTGCCCTTGAGGATGGGTGTGAGAATACAGATTGATCACTGTCCCTCTCATCATCACTTTGTGAGCATCCCGACAAACCAGTCAATGCTGTGTTGATTAAGAGCCTTCTGAAAATAACTGTCTAGGTATCCGCTTGTTCACAGATCCCAAAGGCACAATATGGTCTCTCCCTCTCCTTCCAGCCCCCCCCCCCCCCGACACAGTTATCTTTATAGCCTCACCACCCACACTGTCTCATCAGTGGTCAGATATTTCTGTCCGAAAGAAACAGGAGCTGTGCGAAACACAAGTGGCCAGAGAATGCAGAGAATTTCAGCTGGCTTGTTTAGATACTATTCTGACAGCGGCAACTGCACTAATAGTCCGATCGTACCTCGCAGTTAGCATAGATTCAGTGTTAATTTCATGTCAAATTGACACGACGTGTCTGGTACACGGTTGAGTCTTAACTTGAAAGCGCTTCTGAGAGGTGGTTTTGTAACTGAAGCAATACAAATGGCTGCAGTTTAAGAACCATTTTAGGCCGCCCATCAAGTGGAATTTTTAATACCTCTTCATTATTAGAAAAAAGTTCGTAACAGTAAATATGAATAGTTTTACCAGTGTCATTGATCATTTATTTCACTGTTGAGAATCATCATCTTTCAACCCACAATTACATATAATTCATGTTCAAAGCCGATGCCATTTTCATGGGTTTTATTGAACAAATATTTAAAGTTTTATATTTCAGTGTGAGGGAGAAGGGAATGGAAGGGTTTTGGGAGGGAAGACGGAGTGGCTAGACTGGTTTGGAGCATAAACACTGGCACAGACGGGTTGGGACAAGTGGTCTGTTTCTGTGCTGTACATTCTTCGTTAAGTCTTTGTAACGTCAACACTCAAATCATGCTCTCAAATGACTCGTGAGTTTCACCCTCATTTTGAAATGCGAAACCAGCTGCTTCTTGGGTTATTTCCCCAGATTAACACAAAACCTTACACTTTTGTGGTCTCCAGCCCACCCACGCCAGGTCCCGGGGGAAAGAGCGTTGCCCAAACTTTTAAACCGCTGTACACTCTCAATTTCCTTCATAATACCACATCTGCACAGGACATTGAAATAGATGATGTGGTGTGAATTGCATTGGAAAGTAGGTTTAGAACATCGGTGAAGGGCTTCGAGACGTCTCGAAGACGTGATAAGGCGCTACGTCAAATGCAAGGATTATTATTATTATATTTTACATCTCATACATCTCCCTTCCTCCCAAAAAGAGGGCTTGCCACATCCTTTCATTGAAGAAACTAAATCTACTGTTTCTAAGAGGCCTGACCTCAATGTTGCGTCCCCTTTGCCTGATCACAGATGTTACTTTTCACTTGTTTATGTTCACTTGGGGAACAATTCTTCTGTATGCATTGCTTGCCATAAACATTATTGAGGTATGTAGAGTGATATAAACAGTTCTGAAAATGTAAAATATATACACTCACAAGATATATATTTGAATGCAGATTTACAGAACTCTTAATTATGTGCATGTGGACATGAGCACAGTAAACGTTGCAACCATACTCTGTGCTCCTTAAAAAAAATCACATCAAAATATTTTTACTGATGCACCTGTGAAACCTTATCTTCAAGGAAATTGAACAGCCTTGAAATAATTTTTTTTAATTAAAAAAAACAAGATCCATACAACGAAAATGTAGTATAAATAAGTTTATTTCAGAAGAGCACCCTAATGATGTACAGAAAAATACAAAGAAAAAAAAACTAGAAATGCAACAAAATGATTTGGATGTCCATCGTCTAAAACCTCATCACACTGAATGAGAAACAATACAACTTGCATTTTTTAATTAAATTCTACTTGAAAATACTTAAAATAGCTTATCAAATGTGAATGCAACTTTCTCAGATGTTATACACACACACACACACACACACACACACAACACACCAAAGTGTGAATATATTTAAGCAGAGCTAAAGATGAATACAAAACACCAAACGATCACAGCTGTAATTGTGACGTTGTAAAGGATTTGTAAATGACATATCATGCAAGTGCATCTCTCTACTCAGGTATCAATCTCAGTTGGATTTCCATGAAGCCAGATTATAATAATAATCCTTGTAATTGATATTGCGCCTTATCACGTTTTTGATTTGTCTCAAAGCGCTTCACAGAATATACTGTAAAGTGAATTGACTGTATAACTGTGTGGGTGAAACGCGGCAGCCAATTGCGCACAGCAGTGTCCCACAAACAGTCGTGGATTCAGTGACCAAATTATTATTCTTTTGGCCAAAGTCATCCACTGTCACTTGGCGGGAATATGGATCATCTTGTGGGGAAATCATACATTTGGCATCTGTAATCTTAGCCATTTACAAATCCTTTGCAAAACTTGATTTAAAATAATGTTTAAGCCAATCCCCTCTTCACATAAAATTGATAACCCCTATCCCAGCCTCAAAATAAAAAGGCAGAGTACAGTATATATATATAAACAATCTTCTCAAAACATTTATTTTTTATCCATGTTTAAAACAAGTTTGACTCCTTAGAACACTCGAGTGAAAAGTACAGAATTGTTCCCCCAAAGGTAAAACAATGCAAATCAAGAGTGCTAGTTTTATATATTTCTATATATCAGTAATGAATACAAAAATATCAAATTACACGGCATATTTGATAAAACGAGACATTTTTCTACAGTCATTTATTTGAATGAGTATTTATACAGTCGTGTGGTGAATGAGAATGTATTCCCTTCGGAGCTGAAAGATGATCGACAGGGTTTTGCGGATCAGACTCCAGTCACCCACCCATTGAAGCACATTCTCAAGGGTAAAACATTGCTTTACCATCTTATAAAGGGTTGGAAATGAAACGAAGATCTTTAAACCACTCACACTGATAGTTCTGAACCATACACGCTATATAAATGCAAGTTGTTATTCTTGTTGCTGCAAATTCTTTAGAGTAAGGGTTACTCTGCTTTGTTTAGCAAGTTTCACCAAGTTGGCTCTGTGCAGTTGTAAGTATAACTGATATCATTTTGAACGCGTCATTTAATTTTGGGGATGTAACAAAATGTTTTTTTTTATTGGTTAAAATTGGTATCAGTCATTTACGTGAGTTGTTTACAGGAGACAGTTCCAGTAAAGGAACTAAATAGGGCAGAATAAGCTTAGTCACAGCAACCGGTTGACTGCAAAGAGTGTAAGGAGCAAAATAATCTCGTCTGTGTGGCTCTTAACCCATAGGGCTGAAAAGAAGCTTTTCTATGCTTCATAAACCCTGCAAAAGAGAAAAAAATTTTTAAAAAAATTCGAAACTTGCAAAGAAAGTTATCAGGCAAGATTATACTAATAATTCCCCCCCCCCCGTCCCTATCCGCTACTCCACACCCCAAAATAAATAAATTAATAATAATTTGGTCACTCAATCCACGCCTGTTTGTGGGACACTGTTGTGTGCAATTGGCTGTCGCGTTTCACCCACAAAATACACAGTCACTCCACTTTACAGTATATTCTGTGAAGCGCTTTGAGACGTCTTAAAGATGTGATAAGAATAATAATCCTTGCATTTGATATAGCGCTTTTCACATCTTCTAGACGCCTCAAAGTGCTTCCAGAATATACTGTAAAGTGAATTGACTGTGTGTGTATATATATATTATGTATATTTGTGGGTGATGAGGCACTATATCAAATGCAAGGATTATTGCAAGAACACAAGTCTGTTCTATAAACCACATACAAGTAATCAAACTTTGTTTTTCCAGCAGTCAACACATATAAACGTCATGTTGTGAATTAATTTATCCCTGTGGAAGCTTCAAGATGGTAAACATGCATTTGGAACAAAGGCACAATAATAATAATCCTTGCATTTGATATAGCACTTTTCACGTCTTCTCAACGTCTCAAAGCGCTTCACCGAATAGGCTGTAAAGTGAATTGACTGTATATTTGTGGGCGAAACGCGGCAGCCAATTGCGCACAGCAGCGTCCCACAAACAGTCATGGGTTGAAAATGACCAATTTATTATTGTTTTGGAGGGATTATTATTAGGCTCTGTGTGGAGTAAGGAAACTTGCACAAGGTTTCGCCCTCTGCCTGGAATTGAACCCAGGTGTCTCGCTTGCAAGGCGAGCGCTCTAACCACTGAGGACTCCACATGAATCACAAAAATCTCAAAATCTACATTCTGCAACAACAACAAAAAAGTTGCCTTTTTAACAATTCTACATAGATTTAAAAAAAAATAAGACCTGGGATACTCTGAGAATTCTCATTAATCTGGACATTTTAAAAGCAGCTGCAAATTGCTATTGATGGAGTGAGGGGGCAGAGGGCAACTGATCATTATTACTGTGTGGTCAACCAGCTCTCTGCCAAAAAAAATGGTAAAACTCATGAATGAACCAATAATATGTTTAAAACGCACTGTAACCAGTCTATATCAACAGGAAACATTGCATATAATTATCGCAGAGCCATAAATATTACAGGCGATGGAAGAAACACACGTCTATTACGGGGAAAAAAAAGGGAAGATCACACAAGGTTTCAGTGAGAAATCCATTACTTTGACGTTATTGTTTTTTTTATTAACTGCATCATTTAATTAGCAATGAAGTTCTCTACAGAATGAGAAATGAAATACCGTTCTGACTCATTGGGTTTAACTCTTAAAGATACTACAGTCACTGGGCTGAAATGTGTGTGTATATATTATATATATACACACACACACACATCCTGTAGCTCAGTGGTTAGAGCACTCGCTTTGCAAGCGAGAGACCTGAGTTCAATTCCAGGCAGAGGGCGAAACCTTGGGCAAGTTTCCTTACTCCACACACCTAATAATAATCCCTCCAAAAAGCAAAAACAATATAAATCGGTCATTTTCAACCTACGACTGTTTGTGGGACATTGCTGTGCGCAATCGGCTGCCGCGTTCGCCCACAAATATACAGTCAATTCACTCTACAGTGTGTTCTGTGAAGCGCTTTGGGATGTCCTCCCGACGTGAAAAGCGCTACATCAAAAGCAAGGATTATTATTATTATATATATATAAAGAAGGGGAGAGTAAGACGGGGTTGAATTACATTCAGAAGCTTTCTGCTCCATTGGGGAGAGATACAAAGCCATTCATTCATTCATTCATTCAGACAGGGTTCAAACACACGTGTGATTTTCCTCAATGCCAGTTTTACAGGGCGAGTAAAGTGTTGCTGTTGTTTTTCTTTTTTATATAACCCCCCACCACTCCCACACTATTTGCTAAATAAAGGCAATGAGACATTCCACAGGACTCCACCAGAGAGATTAAAGACACAGACATAGTTGCATTTCTATGCAGACACATTAGCCAAACTCCAGAAAGTGGGAGCAATAAATCTTCCAAAGAATCCCAGTCGTTAAATATAACACAGTGCGATATTCGCTCACAAAATACACAGTCGGTTTTGCTAATATTTCCAGCTTTGCTATTTAAATTTAAAATTATAAACGATTTGTGGGAACAGAATAGAGGGACTGGAAGAAAACTGGGATACAGATCAAACACAAATCCACCCCTTTCTGCCTCTTTCTCTGGGCTGAGCAGTGCAGTGAGTGAGTGAGTTAGTTATGCAGTTAGTTATTTAGTTAGTTGGTTAGTTAGTTAGTTGATCAGTTTACCTGTGATCCCGTTTCCACTTGTTGTACCACTGAATTAGATTCTTGGTGCTCTGCAGTTTGGGATGGAGGCAATATTGATGCCCTTTAAACCGAGCTGCCTTTTGCATGGTAACGCTGTGAAGCCAAAGGAAAAAGAACAACCCCCAACACACAGGATGAATTGACGAATAGTAACACCAATAATACTAATGAATAATAATTAATAATCACTCAAAAAAAAACGTAGCACAATAAAGCCCTGAACAACCCATTGCGTCGTGCAGGGAGTCCCAGAGACACATGCAATGGAAGGAAACTCACAAGATCATTTTCTCCTGACAGTAAGGGTATCTGGGTTTAATCTCCACTTTCTTAACTTTCTTGTAGTGGATTTTCGGTCCCTTTCGGATGCATTTGCATTTGTAAGCTGCAAAGTACAGTGTGAGAGAGAGAGAGAGAGAGAGAGAGGATGTATTAAGTCTGCAACTGTCCTGAAGTCACACAGCAGCTGAGCTGCACATCCAACAAGCAGCTGAGATGGTCACAGTTAAAATGGTTATCACATCATTTCTCACCCCCTTCTCCTCTCCCACCTCACCCCCTTCTCCTCTCCCCTTCTCCTCTCCCCCCTCTCCTCTCCCCTTCTCCTCTCCCTCTCACCCCATTCTCCTCTCCCTCTCATCCCCCTTCTCCTCTCCTCCCTCACCCCCTTCTCCTCTCCCCTTCTCCTCTCCCCCCCTCACCCCCTTCTCCTCTCCCCCCTCACCCCCTTCTCCTCTCCCCCCTCACCCCCTTCTGCTCTCCCCCCTCACCCCCTTTCTCCTCTCCCCCTCACCCCTCACCCCTTTCTTCTCTCCCTCTCACCCTATTCTCCTTTCCCTCTCATCCCTTCTCCTCTCCCCCTCACCCCCTTTCTTCTCTCCCTCTCACCCCTTTCTTCTCTCCCTCTCATCCTCTTCTCCTCCCCCTCTCATCCCTTCTCCTCTCCCCCTCACCCCCTCATCCCCTTCTCCTCTCCCCCTCATCCCTTCTCCTCTCCCCCTCACCCCCCCTCAACTCCATTCTCTCTCCCCCTCACCCCCTTCTCTCTCCCTCTCTCCTCTTTCTCCTCTCCCCCTCTCCTCTTCAGAGTGCATTTTGCATTCAAACATTTTAGTTCCCTTTTTTTTAATAAAAGATAAAAATAATCTTGAGCTGCATCTGGATAGGAGTCCAGAGTGTAGACAGTGCACCTCTCAGGGCAGTTCAGTTCATTCATTAGATTTAAATAACTTAGACCCTAATCCCCCCTTAACTCCCAACACTCCCCCCCCAAAAAAAAACCAACTTAACTTTCAAGAAAAGCCAAGTGCGATTGTAAAAGAAACATCCAACAAGCCTTGTGTGTGGTTTTTTTTCAAATAAATAAAGAAATATAATATAAAAACAGATAAGAGCAGAGGAAATTAAGATGCAGAGAGCAGTGAGTGACTGACTGCATTCACACAGACACACACAGAGACAGACACACACACACACATACACAACTAAATGATGAGAGCAAACTGTATTTTTTTGTTCCTTACCTTCCACATCAGTGGAATAAATCGCGATGATCAAGAGGATAAGGGCTGCTGCTGCTGCACGTTTCATAGCTGTGTTTGTTCAGAGTGACTGCAAGTCGGTGGAGCAATGTTTAGCAAAGTGGAGCAGTCCAAGGAGTTCAGCTTCAATGCTTGATCTCAGTCTCCTCTCACTCCTGGTGTGTGTGTGTGTGTGTTATGTGCTTATGCAGAGGATCTCAGCTTTCCCCCTCCTCCCTTTGCAAGATCCTCTCCTCTCTGATCCAACGCTGATTCTGAACACATTCCCTTTTAACTGCTCTGCTTTATACATAAAAAAAAGCCTCATTAATATGCATAACAATTGCACGAATCACAGATATTACCTAATAGCAACGAGAGAGAGGAAGAGAGAGTGAGTGAGTGACAGACAGACAGAGAGAGAGAGAGAGAGAGAGAAAACGTAAGGATAAAATAAGGGAAGAAACAGACCAGGCAATGGCTTGGACTGTGTGCTGGAGGCAGGTTTATAAGGTGACTGGGACTCTAGTCCTTATTACAGACCAGGTATTCTAACAGCTTTTCTGGTCACAGCAAACCCCACAGTCCAGCTGTTCCTCCAGCAGGATGTCTCCACAGCATTGATCCAAAAGTGTGTCAAGGAGTCAGCCTGGCTCAGTTGGTAGCACTCTCACCCCTGAATCAGAAGGTTGTAGGTTTAATGCCCCCTTTGAGTTCACCGTCTGGACTGGCACTCCAGTCGTTCTGAGCGCTCGTCTCACAAGCGCGAGGATCTGGGTTCGATACCCGGGCTTTACTTTGGGACGTCCTCTCGACGCGAAAGGCGCTATACAAATGTAATTTTGTTGGTGGTGGTGGTGTTGTTGTTTACAGTGTATTTTGCGACATCTCGAAGACGTGATAAAGTACTATATCAAATGCAAGGATTATTATTATTAATATTATTATTATTATTACAGTGCTAGAGGAGCGCTGCATTGCTGCAAATGTCCCCACATTTTCTCTCTCTTTCTCTCTCTCGCTCTCTCTCTCATTCAAACAACAACAACTGCAACAACAGCTCGTATTTATATATAGCACCTTTCATGCGGGGGAATGTACCGGAGTGTTTCAAAGTCTGACAACCCTCAATTAGCACATGAGTTGTTCCCACAGAAGTGACTCTGCCTTAAGCAAATGATGAAAACACAAATGAAACATTCAGGTGCTTTGGACGAGATGTGAATATAAGGTACTGTTCAGGTGGATGTTAAAAATCCCAGTGTCCTGGCCAACCATCCCTACATATAAATTGGTCACTCACTTTCTAGCTGTTTGTTGGGCTGTTGATGTGTGCAAATTAACTGCCTCTACAGTTACTACTCTTTACAGTAAATCCTGTTAAGTGCTTTGAGACATTTTAACAACTTAATGAGGCGCTATATCAAATGCAAGGATAATTATTATTATAATAATAAAGAAAGGTCAGACCACAAGGGCACACAGAACAAGATTCTACAAAATAAAAAGGGAATTTGACTTGGATAATTGGTTTTCTCCAAGGCATGTGCTTAATATAAATAGTCCTAAAACAATAATGTTCCCTGTACCTGCAAGCTGGCACGGAGAGGTAGAGGGGGAAAGTTTCTTTGTGGTTTCGTTGTTTGCTTGAGGAAGAATCACATCTGTGGAAACAACTTGTGTTTTAAGCAAGGGTTTAGATGGCATGGAAAACCAACAAGAGGGTCTAAATGATTTATAGCTGCTGTATAGACCAGAGATAAAGTTACTCCCAGGTACAGCGATCCCATTGTAACAGAGACAGTGGAGATTACAGAGTTTTTTTTGTATTTTGGGGGTTTTGTTTGCCTTGGGCTACTATTTGTTTTTCAGCGGCGCTTGTCAAGGCAATGGGCAGTATGCTTTGCTGATTATAAGTGATGACATCTCGTGAGGGTTTAATGATTGTGATATATTCGCAGATGATGATAAGAACATAAGAATGTGCTCAGCGAAAGAAGACCAAGTTCCATCTAGACCGCTCTTCACCATCCCAAACTATACACTGTATCCCGAGATATTATTTTCCAGCAGAGATCTATCTAACTTCTATATGATCATGAGTTGATTAATGGAAAATCCTTTTAGACACATGTAACAAATAATGGCTTTGACGCAATAAAGCGTACTTTATTTGGAGACGATGTGAGTGAAGTTCAGGAGAAATTTTGGAATATTGAGTTTTAATAGTTGATTTGCAACAGCATCAGGAAAATTAATACATCTTGTGGATAGATGAAGCTTAAATAAACTGGACAAACTGATACTTAATGCTGTTTGCCATTGATGCAAATTTCAAATGGTTATTTGAACAACAATTTTGTTTATTGTACTTGACCGTCTTTGGAAACTTAGTAAATACTTTATTAATGTTGAAGAAACTATATTTAGTTGCTTAGTTTTGCTCACGAAACATACAGTATAAGCTGTGAAGCGCTTTGAGACGTCTCGAAGACATGATAAGGCGCTGTACCAAATGCAAGGTTTATTATTATTATTAACAAAGAGGCGTTCTCTTCAGTATTGCAAGGTTATTTAAGAAGTTGGAGAGAAATCCTTTGATCTCGTGATGTTTTTGCCTTGCGACTGGGAGGTTCCTTTTTGTTATCATTAATTGCCGTTGGATCCCAACACGTCGTTGCTTTTTTTAAAGTATTTGTAGGTCATCTGCGTCAAAACCATTATTTGTTGCATGTGTCTAAAAGGATTTTTGACCTGAATATTTATCCTGCAGAAATCTGGTTGATTATTTTCATCTGTGTTTTGCAATCTGGACTCAATTTTTAATGACGATGAAAGGTTCTTGGGTGCTCGATCGATCTGAACAGTGGCTGAAAATATGCTATATCTTAATCAGACTATGGTGTCAACCAGCCAAGAACATTAGATTAATGCATTGGTGGCACAGTGGCATTTTATCAGCGAGGCACATTATGAATGTAAACATCTTCTTGCTTTCATTGACACACTGTGAGCCAAGTAGCTCACACATGGGGCTCGTTTAGGTTTCGTGTTCGAGTTTGAGACAAACAGTCTGCATCGTGGACTTTGCTCAGAATTGAATTGCACCGCATTGAAAGTGGGCATGAACAAATCAGCAATCCTTGCATTTGGTATAGCGCCATCGGCAGGACACGTCAAAGTGCTTCACAGGGCATAGTGTAAAGTGTAGTGACTGTGTACTTTGTAGGCAAAACATGGCATCCAATTTGGCACCCAATCAGTGCCACTTCCCCGCTCTTACAGTTACTTTTGATATCACCTTTTATTTGCTACTTGAAACACATTGCGATGCTTGACACAAAGTCATGTTATTATGAGCTCTGGGACCCTACTCTGCATGAGGGGCACTATATAAATGCAAGTTGTTGGTGTTATTAACTGTACATTTTTGTACACAATTCTTTTAAAATGATACAAAACACCTCATCAACTCTTTCTGTAATGTAATTTTGATTTATATGATTGATTTTTAACACGATTGATTCCAGCATTACCTTTTGAATGAACTGATGCAATAAATTATTTTAGCTCCTATATTACAGTCATCCTAATGAGCCTCTCAAAGGATTAATTGGTCTATAGCCCCACCTCAAAGTGACAGCATGAAGTGATGTAAAGATCATAAGAATTTGCTTGGCAAAGAAAGCAAAGGTCCATCTAATTCACCTTCCACTATCCTGGCAGTCGCTTGACATGTTGTGTCCCAAACTACATGCACCAATGTACATGAATATGGAGTCTTGTAGCTCAGTGGTTAGAGCACTCGCTTTGCGAGAGACCTGAGTTCAATCTCAGGCAGGTCAGGGCAAAACCTTACTCCACACGCCTAATAATAATTCCTCCAAAACAAAACAATAATAAAAATTGTTCATTTTCAATCCATATGACTGTGGGACATTGCTGTGCGCAATTGGCTGCCGCGTTCGCCCACAAATATACAGTCAATTCACTTTACTGTGTGTTCTGTGAAGCGCTTTGGGACGTCCTCCCGACGTGAAAAGCGCTATATAAATGCAAGGATTATTATTATTATAATTATTATATAGAATACTGGGCTTTCTAGATTGGTTTCATATAAATACAGTCACATCTCTTCCCTACCAAATCTACTGGACTTAAGAAATGAGTGGAATAGGGGCTGCCCAATGGATAACAAATAAACCCATGTCACTTATATTTGGATGCAAAGAAATGAATCCAAATCTCTATAAGGAATGGAGTTCAGTGAGGGTCTGATTCTTGGCCTCTTACACTTACACTATTTCAGAAAGGATGTGAGGAAGGCTTTTTATTGTAATACTTAAACATTGCTGATGACAGCAAGCTGTGTAGCCAGATGACAAGTCTAAGGGAGATTAACGGAGACATAAGGATTTGGGCACATTGGGATGAGCTAAGGAATGACAGATGGATTTGAATGTGATTAAACAGAAGGTAAATCACTTTGGAGCAGTTAACTCGAAACATCTGAAAATAGTTATAGAATGGCCATTGGCAAAGAAGGATATAGAAAAAAACATTTGAGTATGATTATCAGTTGAAAGTATCGAGTCAACATGAGTTTGCTTTCGAAGGGCAAATAAGATATCGGGTGCATCTGCGGGACAATTGGAGTCCTTGTTTCCCAGGCTGAGCAAAACCTTAGGCAACTTTCCTTACTCCACCCGCCTTTGTTTACCGAGCAATAAAAAGCAACTCAGTTGTTAGTCGACTGGAGGATCGCTTTTGTTGGGGTAATAAAAAAAAGTGGGCCCTCAATGCACAACTGTTTGTGGGACACTGTTGTCAGCAATTGGGTGCTGAGTTTCGCCCACACAATATAGTCAATTCACTATACATTATATTCTGTGGCGCGCTTTGAGACGTCTCAATGACGTGATAAGACGCAATATCAAATCCAAGAAAAGCGATCCGCCAATCGACTAACAACCGGATTTCTACTTACTGTTAGGTAAACAGAGGGGCGTGGAGAAAGAAAACTCAGCTAAGGTTTGCCTCACCCTGGAATTAAAATGTTTCAAAGTTCCCCTCCCTCACCTCCTTCAAGAACCAACTCGAGACCGATTTGACCGTGCTTTCGCTTTAAAGAAAAACTCTGTCAAGACTTTGAGCCATTTCAACTTGATAAGAAATTCTATCAAAGGCAAAGATTATTATTCAAACTCAAGAATTATTATTCGGATCAGCTTATATAAAATAAATGTTGGTGTGGGCACAGCACTTGTAGATTTATTAGATGTATTTATTCTAAGGTGAAGAAGAATATATAGTTGCCAACTTCTCCCAAACAGGTCTGAGTAGTGATTAAATCAATTCA